AAAATCCAAAATTACGTTTTCATTTGATATAACTGGGTTACAAAGCTTTATTTTTATCATTGTTATTAGTATCATTATGTAATAAAAATAACATAATATTAACTTAATTACATTAATTATAACGTATTTTTGCTTTTTCTAGTCACCCACTTTATTTTGAGAATTTACATTGTGATACGATTACCTCAAAGATACAAAATAGATACTTCTCGTTCAAACAACGGTAAAATCGGTAAAGCTTCACATTGTGGAGCTTTTGAATTCTAGCTATGCCACTGTGTGTATGCAAGGAGTAATCGTATTACGCTAACATATGGAAAGTAGTCAGGAAAACGAAATACAGCGTTCTATCATCACTCGATTTAGAGACGTGACATCGATCGATGTAAAGAAATATAATGAATTTTTGAAGAATAGATATATATAAAGACAGAGAAAGAAACAGTGAGAGAATCGCGCGAATAATTAAACGTCGCGAAAGTGACAATTGAAATGGCAATTCGTAGTTAACCGCGATCCACTCGGTTCGTACAACTTTAAAAACTGGGTCGACGTTTCGTTAGCGAATCGATTAATCCTACACGCGCGTAATGAGAATTTTGTCGCAACAGTAGAAAAAAAATTATCAATTTTGCATGCAAATCTATATACATAAAGTACATAATAAAATAAATATTCGAAAATTATAAACAAATCAGTTGTGTGAATAAATAAGCATTATCGTTATATAATATATCTCAATGTTCCCTTTTAAGGGAACGAGCCATCATAGATAAATAATAAATAAGCCAGCGAAAAAGTTGCTTCTATTATCAATATATAATGCTATAATACAAGAACTTCAGAATAGCAATAAAAAGGAAATCGAAGGTATTGATTTCTCGTATGGAATTAATATATAATGGATGATATAAAGAAGAATAATCAATAATATTAATAAATGCAAAGTAATAAACAAATAAATAACAAGAGAGGAGGAGGAGAAGGAGGAGAAGGAGGAGGAGGAGGAGGAGGAGGAGGAGGACGAATAAACATATTGGCTTTCCAAAA